AAAAATTAAGAAATTTTCGACTATCAATATAGTATTTAATATTCCTGATAATGCTTTCAATTTTTTTGTTCTAATCGCCATCTACAATACCAAGATACGATTATGACAATCATTATTTACAGTATTTTCATAATTTTTTATCTTAAAACTTAAGAAATATCGTGTCAAAAGAGAAAAAAAGACTTTGAGCCGGTAGGATTGAATTACACTTTTGTTAAAATTACCTACTAGGATTTACTATGCTGGGGAAAAAATGCAAAAAAAAAAAAAAAAAAAATTCTATCATTTTGTGATTATAGATTTTATTTTTTTAGAGACCGTATATGATTTATCGAATAAATTCAAAAATATTCATAATAAAAGCAGGGGAACACGACGTTCATCCAAACATTAAATTGAAACTAGATAAAAAGCTTGCAACGCAAGCGCGCATGATGCTAGGTTTGAATCTCGACGAATGAGGGCAAATGTCAAGTCTCGAAATAATGCTTTTAGCACTCGCACACTATTGTGCATTTAATTGCCAATATTGTTTATGGAAATTGTTTTTTTTTTCCACCTAAGTTCCTATTTTTGTGTGTTTGATTGGTATTTTTTTCCATGAAAAATATTTTCTTACTTTTGGTGGTAATATATTATTGTGGTTTATTCTCATGTCTGCTTATTGTGAACCGAATCATGCTACTGTTACAGAAGAATTTCATATGTAAAAACAACAGATAAGACACATTGGGGTGGACCCCATTTTTATAATAATATTTTATTCACATGAGGCTCACCCCCATGTGAGTATATGTAAAATTTACAGAACATATAGTTATGTACAAGGAGTAAAATCCATTGTGAACCAGTGATTGCTCTTATATTCAATATTTATGGATTACCTTTTTTATAACTAGTATCTTCTTAAAACTTGGATGACACTTTTATGTATGAATAATGCTATGTGTACACCTTGTGATGTACACACGGCCTGAGGGGGGTCCACAAATATTTTATTGTACGTGGGCCCCCCATGTGAGGGGGGTGTAAGGCCGTGTGTACACTATTGTGTACATATAGCATGGTCCTTTATGTATAGTTTACATGGTTCATTGACTTGAAGGGATTTTTCCCCCCTAAATGGAAGAAGATTAAGGGGTTTAAATTTGATCAAGTAGGAAGGGTTATTTGTAATGGCCGCTGGATCTATTTTGTTTTGAAAGTAAATACACAAATATGTCCTTACGAAAGGTCTCCGAACTAGGGCGTGATTATATTTTTGAATAGAATAATGTTCTATAGCACCGGGTGGTACTAGAGTATTGTTGGAATCTTGTATCAAAAATTGGTTTTGACCAATTTTAAATGATTATTTAAGTGGAATTCATTATTTGATGAATGAGAAATTATGCCAAATTTTAGTTGTTTAAATGCGTGAATTGTTGGAAAATCGTATCGAATATTATGAAATATTCTATAAAATCTTTGGATGGAAAGTTGTGTATTTCCATATGAAAGATCATGACTGTTGACATAATTATTTTCCAATGTGTGTCTTCATGTATAAAGATAAATTTCAAGAGGTGTGTCTTTTTATATAGTTGAGTCTTTTAAGATAAACATTTCCAATTATTATATATAGATCTCATGTGTTTGGATTTATTAATTCAATTCATAATTTCATATCATTTCTTTTAGTTNTGTTGGAATCTTGTATCAAAAATTGGTTTTGACCAATTTTAAATGATTATTAGTGGAATTCATTATTTGATGAATGAGAAATTATGCCAAATTTTAGTTGTTTAAATGCATGAATTGTTGGAAAATCGTATAGAATATTATGAAATATTCTATAAAATATTTGGATGGAAAGTTGTGTATTTCCATATGAAAGATCATGACTGTTGACATAATTATTTTCCAATGTGTGTCTTCATGTATAAAAATAAATTTCAAGAGGTGTGTCTTTTTATATAGTTGAGTCTTTTAAGATAAACATTTCCAATTATTATATATAGATCTCATGTGTTTGGATTTATTAATTCAATTCATAATTTCATATCATTTCTTTTTGTTGCATTGCATAAAAACAATTTGTAAAAGTGGTCTTTTCTTGCATATAACCATGATTCGGTAGAAAGAGAATTCCGTGAAGAGTTCGTTGCTCTACATAATTTGGAGTGCTCATATTTCGAGACATTGTTGTTGTATCTTGGGAGATGATTGTCGAAAAACCGTTAGCACCGATGCGAGAACAAATTCATTTTAAGGAGAAAGTGTTAAAAACTTGGCTCGATCAATCCA